TTGTAGGAAATTAAATTAAGCTACCATAATGGGTATATTCATGTAGCAATGCATACGGTTTCCTCAAAATAGTAACTTAACATCATCTTGTACGGGTCTACAGTACATGCCATTTTTGGAAAGGTACGGTGTGGGTTTGGCGCACGCCAAACGGGGAAGGTATCGGGCTCTGTGTGTCGGGGCGCTCGGGCTTTCAGGTTCCCTACACAGATATAGGCGGCTTTCTGTCAAGAGTTCTCGACGTCCCAGGGCACATGCGAGATACTACTGTAAGTTCATCCCTATATAACCCAAGATTATCTCTATATAGCCCCTATAATCCCTATACAGCTAATTGTTGGCTCCGAAAACCCAGGGCCCCCCTTTTGGGAGTTCCCGGTTATTAACTGAGTTGGGAAAGCAAGTCAGGAAACTGCCAAACTACTACAGAAGGATCCATGTACCTAATTGATAAAGACTCAGTCCCCAAGTGTGCGCTACACAGAATCTTACCATTGCCTGAAGTCCTGTTAACAAATGCAACCATTTCTGAAGATGATGCCATGTTTATAAGATGAACAGAGCTATAACTTACCTTGTCTTTACTGTCTCCTCAGTGGGTTATTCTATGCTGGGCTTGGGCATACTGAGCAAAAATGCGAGTAGCCCCTGACGGAAAATCCGTGCTGGCAAGCAATATCAAGGCCCGCGAGAGACTTGGTAGTTTCCAAGACCTCAATATAGACACCAAAATACTATAGTCCTCATTATGGGGACCCCCAAAATAGGTACCCCTACTCTTGGGAAACCCCCACTTATGCCCAGGCTTAGGGGAAGAGGTCTGAGAAACCACCGGGGCTCGTCGGAATCACAAATAACTGGGTTGGTGAAGAAAACACGGCTGGCTATCCATCTTTCAAGCGTGTCGGTGTATTTTCGACCGTATTCTTACAAGACTTCGCATAGTTTAGGGGTTGGAAGGACTCCGACCTCAGATGACCCACGACTTACGGTAGCCCAACGTAGGGTGGATTCCCTTTGCACGGTCACAGCATATTTGTGGATTAGGTACGGTACCCAAATTTTTAGACATCGGTCATAGCGATGGCATGTTCGAAGCAAGGGCATTCCAGCAGAGTTCCCCTTCGGAGAGTGCCGCATGCCATAAACCTAGACATCCCAAATGCTGAAGCTAATAGCCTATTAACTCATCGTTCTGGGATCAGAGACCATTCTGATAGGTGTTTGCGAGGTCTAGGAATATTCTTAACTCACCAGGACTGGTTTTCAGTCACGGATGCGATTAAATGAGCGAGCGCAGCTCTGCGGCTGCTTTCGCAAATGACTCCCCTCCCCTGCAAACATCGAAGACGCAATCGTCGAAGAAAGGCCCCTCGGCATCCCGGGTGTCCTATCGTACGGCACTCACATTGACAGCAGCATGACGACTTTGCTGGAGGCAAGGATATGAAGAATCAACCCTGAACCCTAAGGTTCCAACCCAGGTACCTTTATCTAAACCGGCCTTAAAATCATTTTTTGGGGTGTTATTAGGATCATAATAACCAAAAATTGAAAAATGTTGGATCATGGCAGCAAGCGAGAAGTACACTCTCCGGGGAGCAGCGAATTTGAATGCTGATGGCCTAGAAGAGGGCCAAAACGTCTAGCATAAGTAAAACCAGCCATGTTAAGTCCAGCACTATGGAGGAAGGCGCCGCGTAACAGATGAGAATATATTACCCGCTTGTCCTCTCCAAGGTAATGTGCACAGGTGTCTTCAGCTTTCGTCTTGGCATCTCCCGTGCAGGAGGTCAACAGCAAGGGCTTCTCCTATTGGCTGATCAAGCTTGTGGTTCAGGAACTTGGCTTGAAAATGGCCCTGCGACTCCTTGACTTTTGACTCAAATGCTGCTTCAAATTATTTTGGCTTGGGCTGCAACAGCCATGTTGGCTGCAGAGCTTTCGGCTTTGAGTTATTCTTCTGGCTTGGGTCTGAGAGTGCGGGGATGTGCAGGGCAGGCGCTTCTCCTCTTTGTTCTTCTTCAAGAAGGCGGCAGCGTCGTCGCTTCCACCTGTCGGCTGCCACGTTTTGGGGCTTACTTGTCTCTAGTGAATACATTAAATGAAGCAATGGATCCTACAATTATCCGCATAACTGCCTCAATAACCTCAACACTTGCATCCCATTCCTTTGCTCCCGGATCTCCCAGCTATAGTGCCCCTTAAGTAGATAGCATCCGGCTTTGGGGTATATTATACTAAGATCCCCATATGCCCCATATTCTATCTACTTAAGGGGAACTAGAACAAGAAGCAAATTCAGGGGCTCGGCACTGAGGGCAAACATGGGCAAACACTGCCCCTTCACCCAAAACCCTTCACTGGTCCCACCCCTCCACTCACTGAGACGCCCTCAATCCGCCCGAACCCCTACGGAGAACTTCTCAAAGTCAAAAGGAGCTGCATATCTTCCCTTCAAGATGCATAGAAAGGATTGCAGAATGATGGTATCTTGCACTCACAAACAAGTAAAAACCCGGGCCTGTCACATCCCTAAACCCTAAACCCTAAACCCTAACCCTAAACCCTAAACCCTAAACCCTAGTCAAGGTGGGGTAGCTCAAATTCCACCCTGCTGGGCCAACATCTTTTCAGAAGCACCCGCCTAAAGCTTCCCAGGTCTCTTCGACTGGGAACCTCTCCTGTTGTTCAGGAAGTTTAGGGGTTCAGGATTTTGGGGTTCGAGAGGGTTTAAGGTCTTGGGGTTTGGGGTTTAAGGGTTTAGGGCTTTGGGATTTAGGGTTCAAGGGTTTAGGGTTTTGGCGTTTTGGGATTTAGGGTTCAAGGGTTTAGGGTTGTGGGGTTTTGGGGTTCAAGGGTTTAGGGTTTGGGGGTTTTGTGGGCTAGGGTTTTAAGGGTTTAAGGGTCTGGCACCTAGCCTCACCTGTAGGAGTACTGGAACTGCCAATATCCATAACTAGAATATAGACTGCAATAATTCGCCTTCATCGCAAAACCGTGGGTATATGGCCTACTTGACCTAGGTACATGCTAAACCCTAAACCCTAAACCCTGAACACTGCAGCTCGGCCTCCACTCCACCCGGCCTTCTTTTCAGCACACATGCATTGTAACATCTTGTAATACTAGGCCTCAAATTCGTGTAGCCCTAAACCCCCAAAAACTGAAAGTTTCCCCTTAACCCTACTACCGCGAACCCTAAACCATCATGCTGGGGACTCATATGACTATGCTCTCAAAATTCGAAGGCCCTACCATTCCCGAAGCCCCAAGGACTTGAGGAGCTGTCCTGGTTCTTAGCATTGCCGGCTTGGATTTGGCCTGTCAGGAGCTTGGGATCGAAGGCCTTCTGCGGGGACACCCGCAGGTTGATAGCGCCACTCCTTGAGAAGAGGTACCCTCCCGCCCCCCGCCCCACATTGCACCTCTTCCCCGGAATTCAACATCTTCCCACCAGTTCACCCATCTCGGTACAGTATGGGAAGACGTTCATGTCGCATCGAGGGGGGGTAGAATGTTGGAAGGACGATTGTAACTGATCGAATACATCCTAACTTGCAGTTGGGACTCATGCACACCGCGTTGAGGACGAGAACGGCTTTCTTCCCGGTAGGCGTGTCCATGCGAAGGTTGATGTGCTTTTGGTTGACGTACTCAAAGCTACTGACGTCCTTGCCGCCTTCCAACAAAGATAGTGATGCCTTGCTTGACCAGCCGTATTCAGAAAGCATGGTTGGCGTTTAGGTTTAACTAACAACCCCAGAGCCTAAACCCTCAAGCCCAAACCTGAACCCTGAAACCCAAAGCCTAAACCCTAAATCACAAACCCTAAACCCTAACTTTACGAGGATGAAAGCTGCTTCGCTTTGCCTGCCCTGTTTATCTCTTTCTGATGATTAGTAGGGAATCCAGGAATGGATTCTCTCTAATACTCACCGTCAAGAATCCCCGGCATTCCACTCCTTCATTCCCTACCTTATTAACTACCATGGTTATACTTGGTGGAATGCCAAGCTGCATTCTGCTCAATGACAGACCACGATTCTTGCCCTGTCTTGCTGCGCCACTGGCAGTCCTCCGACGTGAGCTCCATAGCCTCGCAGGGGGGGTTCTGCTTGAGAGCCTGGTGTGTCCAGGTATCAATGAGACAGAGGTAATCTTTTTGGGGGGGTTCGTGGAGGGAGCCCATAAGGTTTGCACACTCTTGAGCGGCATTAGTAGTACCCGCACTAGCACCTGCGCAACCTCCAACACGCCACGACCAGCAGCAACACCAGCTGCAGCAGTCTATATACTCTGTAAGAGTACTCTACCACCAGAATCTACCGGACCTCAAGGCTACCCGCTACCGTGCTTCATGTGCTCTACCAGTATGAACTGGCAATGCAACGCCGCTATTGTGCCAGCGCTACAGCAAAACCCTAAGGCCCTTCCAGTGCCTGGCGCAAGCGACCCTTGGATTTGTCCACCAACAGCAAGCCCTGGACGGTCCACAGCGGGCCTCTCTAGGGGTGAGTCCACAAAAGGCGGTCTGCGAGAGACTACAAGGGTTTCGAAAGGATTTTTCGAGACGTAACGCTGGGTTTGGAAACGCACCGTTCCAGGGATTATGACAACTTTCACGTGCACTCCGAGGGGTATGGGGAATTTGGAAACTAATCGAGGTTGGAAGCAAAGCACTCTGAGGGGTTCTGCGAATCC